ATAAATCTTTATTAGTAATATTTTTGATATTTGCATGAGAAAGTTAAGATAGACATGTAAAATGTTGAATTTTATGCCTCTCAATGAGATTTACAGGATTCTTACATTACAGGTGGGGATTCATTCAAGAAGGCAGCCGTGGAGGTTTCTACTGTCTGTGCCACTCTGTATAGTGAACTGTACAGAGACACCAGAATTCTAGGAAAAGAGACAGCTTCTGCAATAAGAAAATCAGGTCAATTGTGATTTATATGATACCTGTAAATCCTACCAGTTGTATAAGAGAAAGATTTAAACCCCTTGTTACCATTGGTGGTTGAGTTCATTTTATACACTGTCTTCTTTGACCTTTGTTTATTTAGCAGTTGTGAAATCTTCCATTCTACTCTTAGAAGCCCTCTTGTAGTGTGACTTATATTTAATTAACAAGAGACTCATATGATATATCCAAGATCAGGCTAAATTAGTGTATAAGGAAATTGAAGTTTTACTATGACACAACCATCATGTAGTAAATTTAATCAAACTTTTTAATTTCCAAACATGATGTCTTAAAACCACATGCAATATTTTTACAATATCCCTAAAGGCAATAACACTGGTCCCTACGTGATTTTCTGAGATTTAACTTCATGATCGAGAAAACTACAAGGGTCTTGCAAGTATTAAAGTTCTGAGATGAAATACGCTTAACCAATGACAGCATTTCAGCTTTACTCCAACAGGGGTAAGGTTGCCCAGCCCAAGTGCTACACTCTTCTGGACAAAGAACTCTGTCCATGGAAGCCAGAAAAAGCTACACAATCACACCAAACAAATCTCTTTTAAGGTATTTATTGGGAGGACAAAAGCCAGCATTCTAATTGTCTTAATAATAAAAGATCAAGAGTAAGATATAGGGGTTAATGTTACAGATCAGAGATGAAAAACAGCCAGCCACTAGAGAGTTCTTTACCTCTACCAATGCTCAGGCTGAGGGGGTGATTCTGTCCTCAGACTTTGTCTGTGTCCACCAAACATCAGACACAGTGAGCTCTTGCTTCCTGCCTCATTATATTTCTCTGCTTAGCCATTTCCCTTCCTGTGTCTACCTTTAGAGTGCTGAGATTAAAGATGTGGATTCCCAGGTATTAGGATTAAATGTGTGAGCAACCACTACCTGCCCTTTAGTAACTTAGCTCTGCACTGTGATCTTCAGGCAAACATTTTTTTGTTAAAACACAAACAAAAAATCACTACAAACATGTAGCTGTGGTGGACTGATGCACTAATCATGTAGTATACTTGACTTTATTACTGTTTTAACTATCCATTGTACCCATGAATACTCTCCACGGAACAGTTCCAAGGTGACTTCCATATGAGAGATATTAATTCTTTGGAGGAGGTGTTCCCTTTAGGAGGACATGTTAGAGTTGGAAAAGGATTGTTTCAACACTGATCAGCTTTTCTTTATGTTCTATATTAACCATCTCATTTTGTTTTCACCACCATTCCCATCATTTGAACTGCCTTACCTGTCTGTCTCCCTATGATGACACCTAGTATCCCAAGACCACTTTATTCCTAGATTGAGATAGAATTAGAGCCCTTAATAGAGAAATGGATTCAGTGATAAAGGAGAGATCAAACATATCCTCTTACCCTGCAATATTGTTAAGGGAATGGTTGATTGTGGAGACAACACCGACAACTGGACCTGGTTTGTTATCAGAACATCATTCTCAATGATGTGATCAGTCATAAATACTTATCCACATAGACAACAATGAACGAACTCAGACGGTTATATTTATGTAATATATTTGTTTATAGGTTTGTGTAACCAACATCATTTTTAAGATGAGGTCCTGAATTTGGGACAGAATAATAGGAATACTTAATATTGGAAGCATAGTCGGAAGGATATGGAGGGGTAAAATGAGTCTAGAGAACCCTGACCAATATACAGCTGATCACTGTATTGTTTTACAGTCATTCAAGGCAAAGGTCTTTATTCTCTTAGAATGAACAATTTCACTTTCTCTCTGACCAATGAGTAAGTCTTGCAAATGTCAAAGCTTAATAATTAAAATAATTAATCGAAGCATAATTAGTAAAATCTCAGAGACCAAAATTGGGGTTCAACTTGAAGGCCAGAAAAGCAAAGCAGCTAGCCACTGGCTCTTACTTTGACCTCAGTACTAAAATGGAGATCCAGCCTCTAGGAATCCTCAGAATGAGACTGTGAGTGAGAGCTGTCTCCTCCCATTTTATATTCCTTTCTAGTGCTGAATTAAGCACATGCACTACTCCACCTGGGTTCCATGGGAGCCTATTGTGGCTACTGGGATTAAAGATGTGTGTCACCACTGCACGGTTTGTAAGGCTGATCATTGCAACTGTTTTACTCTCTGAACTTCAGGCAAGCTTTATTTATTAAAATACAAATAGAATATCACTACAATTAATAAAGCTTATATTAATGGATATTCCACTTAAAGCAAAAATGCCAATGAATTTATTACATCAAAGAAAATAAAAGTGCAAAACAACAAAGAGTTATTCCTAGAATGTTATACACATAGAAAACAAAGAGTGGATAGAGAAGGTTGTTTTTATATAATTTGTTAGTTTATACTTATATAACTTGAATAGCAAAGAGAAGGCCCTGAATTTGTGAGTGAATGGTGAGGATCATGAACGCTGGAAGTATATTTATGAGGAGCTGGAATGTAGTAATGAAATCTTTATATTTTGATTAAAAGCCTTAAAAGACTAAGCAACTTTAGAATAATGTGTATTTACAGAGCAAACAAAACACTGTTTTGATTTTTACAAAGATATGCTGTGTACATCTAAAATTGGGAAAATTACACAAACTGTTTCCTTTAAATTAAAAATGAAATTTCTGATCTTCTATATAAGACTACATTTCCTCCCCCCACATGCACTGTTTGCTTCAGTTAAGATGCCTCAGATAAACACCTTAAGCACATTTTACAAAAATGAAATGAATGATAGAGCCTTTCTTGGGTATATTCCCAAGAGTGGTTTTGCTGGATCCTTGGGTAGGTTGATCCCGAATTTCCTAAGAAACTGCCACATTGATTTCCAAAGTGGTTGCACAAGTTTGCATTTCCACCAGCAATGGGAGAGTGTTCCCCTTACTCCACATCCTCTCCAGCAAAGGCTATCATTGGTATTTTTGATTTTAGCCATTCTGACATGTGGAAGATGCAATCTCAAAGTTAAGAGATGCTCTATCATACTACAAAAGTATTTGTTCAACTGTGTTCATAGCAGCATTATTTGTAATAGCCAGAACCTGGAAACAACCTAGATGCCCTTCAATGGAAGAATGGATAAAGAAAGTGTGGAATATGTACGCATTAGAGTATTACTCAGCGGTAAAATAACAATAATATTTTGGATTTTGTATGCAAATGGATGGAAATAGAAAACACTATCCTGAGTGAGGTAACCCAGACCCAAAATGATGAATATGGTATGTACTCACTCATAAGTGGATTCTAGCCATAAATAAAGGACATTGAGCATATAATTTGTGGCCCTAGAGAAGCTAAATAAGAAGGTGAACCCAAAGAAAAACTTATAGTTATCCTCCTGGATATTGGAAGGAGATAGTTCCACCCAACAATCTGTGCAGAGTGAAAACATTGTACAATATGTATTTTGATACTATGTACTATTAGAGGTTAATGATATGTATGAGATGAGTTATAAAATAGTATCTAGGGATGTGTAAAAGAATTATACACAATGAATATATGAAATTATTTTATAACATCTGTTCACCATTTAAAAATACAGCAGACATTCCTCACAATAAAATCACAGAAAAGACAAATGCAGAGATGACAGCAGAAGCAATATTTTTCATTATAAAATGACCATTCCTCAGAAGCTAAGAAAATATGGAATTTAGAGTACCATCTTTTAAAGAAGATCCTAATGAAGAAGATGGAAGTAATGTTATATTTAGTAGATGGTATCAGAAACATTTCATAAAACTGAGAAAGATGGAGTGTGTGTATGTGCCTTCTCTCCATTGTGTTCAGTCCAGTACTTGAAATTGTAGCTAACACAATCAGACAAGTAAAGTACATATAGTGTGAGCACTTTTGGAAAATGGAGATAATTTGTCAAAGTATACAATAAAAAGAATCTAATAAAGAAAGAAAAGTGTTATATAAGACAAATTTATTATGCACTCAGAAGTTCTGAATTATTTTTATGAGGTCAATTGTGGAAAGGCTGGAGAGTATATTTGATTATGATCAAAAGATATTGTGTGAGATTCTCAAAGGTTTGACAAAATCTATTTAATGAGAAGCCCAGTTTTCACATTTAGATGAAAGGTTAATATTTGCAATTAATGATGTCATCGAGTTAGATTAAGGTCACGTATAAAGCAAGTGCATTTTAAAAAAAATTATTTATTTATTGTGTATACAGTGTTCTGCCTGCATGTATGACTGCAGGCCATAAAAGGGCACCAGATCTCATTATAGATGGCTGTGAGCCACCATGTGGGTGCTGGGAATTGAACTCAGGACCTTTGGAAGATTAGGCAGTGCTCTTAACCTCTGAGCCATCTCTCCAGCCCCAAGCAAGTGCATTTTTATTCAACATTAATGAAATTTGAGATTTCTGATGATAAAGAAGGCATCATCATGCATCACTTTTGCACCCTGCACATGTGTCTTTAATTTGCAATCATGTCAGTGACTGTAATGGAATCCAACATTGATGATCAAATGTCAAAAGTGACATGTCTTACATAAAATAATATTTTTGGAAGCATAAAATTCAGTGTAAAGCACAGGTTTGGAATAGCTGTTCTAACTTCTCTGAAGGTCGTGGAGTTGCAGAGATTTCAGGTCTGGCTATGTCAGCATGTCAGGTTTTTTTGTAAATGTTTTAAATAACAAACATTGAAAAATGCCAAATTTCAAAGTAATGAAATAATTCAAATCATTGTAACAACATTTCACCACTTTATTTCACAGTATTGAGGATACATTGAAAGCAAATATGAAATTTTCAAAAAGAGACCTCAATTCAATCTAGTAATTATTACAGAAGGTACTGAAAGCTTCACAGAGAATTTGGGGGCATTATATTCATCCCACTAAGTTCACTCTGGAATATGGCTTTGCTGATTTTTTGTTTGTTTTCAGCCTGTCTTCTCTCTGTCAGTGGTAAAGGTAAAAACCCATGATGAACAATATTGACTCTGACACTGTAAAGGAAAATGATATTTGAAAGTGAGAGAATCAAGGGCCTATGGCATACATGACACATGCAGGTAAGAAGAGGAGGACTAAGTGAGCAGGTATCCACAATGAGGTGTGGGGAAAGGAATACAGCTGAGCAGACAAAGTGCTTTTGCCATAAACTCCAGAATTCCATGCACCTATAACATACTTGGTACCTGGACCATCTCAGAGTACAGTTCCTTAATGTACATACAATTTTCATCACAAAAGTTAATGGGACCACCAGAATTATTCCCACAGTCTTCTCAAGTGTGGAGTGCAGTGGTTTTTCTTGTTTATTTCTTAATTGAATATTTTCCCATTTTCTGGCAGTACCAAGCCTCTAACAGCAGAATCACTAGAGTCACTAGAACCAAGGCAGCCATGAACATCCGGAGGAGATTTTCAACTATGTGATGTTGGTTCTGCGAGGCTGGAGGTTCTGCATTAAAGAGGTCAAGGAAGTTAAGTCATATCAAAGTCTTCTCACAATAAATGGTTGTACACTCAGCCCCCAATATCTTTGACAGATCAACTCTTTGTGCCTATCTCTTAATATAGAATTTTGGTTTTTTTCACTCAAATTTCATATATTCTTGTTCTTTTCATGTTCTAATGATCTGAGTTTCCATAGATAATCAACTAAATTCAGAGTATATAATATGTATGAGAGAGTTGACACATTCCTCTGAGCCCCTCAAAGTTTCAATAATTCTAATTGTTCTAAAAATGCATATTATTCTAATGTTATTTCATCTTGTGTAATTTCCTAATGTCCGAGGAGGCTCAACAAACACGTATTGATTTCAAGCTTTGCAGTACTCAACTCTCAGTAGAGTTCTCACTTGCCATTCTCAGTGGGGGTGAGGAACTGGTCCTTGGGTTGTGTCAGAAATGATTGGACAGGTGGATATTTCAGCTCCCAGTCCTTGGATATAGCCTGTCTTTTTTCTGCCTCAATCTGGATCTTACATACTTCCAATTGTTTCATACCCTGTCACACCAGTTTTTGTACCTTTGGGTTCTTGGCTGTCTAACAAGGACACAGTTCAGTACCACCGAGGCATAACAAACTTTATCATTGAAAACAATGGGCTAATTCAGACTCTGAGGGACTCAGAATTGCTTGATTGGTTCTTTGCACTCTATGTACCACAAGCCTTTCACAAACAGCAGTTGCCATGAGACTGGATTCAGAGTTTTCAGGAAATAAAGAAAAGAGGAGAATGAAGGACTGAAAATCCCATTGGAGACTATTCTCATTAGGTTTTGCTAAATTTATACAAGCTAGACTTACCTAAAAGAGACAATTTCAATTGAGGAAATGCCTTCATTATATTGGTCTATGGCAAGTCTGTGGTGAAATTATCCTGATTGATTGCTAATTGATGTGGAAGGTTCCGGCCCATTGTGAATGGTTAAAAAAGTGGGCAGTTAGACCTTGAGGGTATAAGAAAATGTGCTGAACAAGACACTGGGGAGTAACTCTGTAAGCAGTGCTCCTCAATGGCCTTTGCTTCAATTCTAGCCTTGTGTGCCTAATTCTATTTCTCTTCATGATGCACTGTAAGCGAATAGGAGAAGTAAACTGATTCCTTTACAAGTTACTTTAGAATATGGGATTTCATCACAAATATAGAAACCTACCTAATTCAAAGGCAATATCTTATCACTTCATTGAATATGTGTACCCCTTAAATCCTGCTGCCTAAATTACAATTAAGTAAATTACAGTGAGTCATGGAGGACAGTGTTTGCATCAGGGGATGCTGCTGGGTTTTCCACCATGACAGGTGAAAGCCTTCAGACTGAAAAGTATCCTTCTTTAGGGTTTCCTTAGTTTTACTGTAGGATAGAGCCCTTCTTAGAGAAGATATCTGAGGGACCATATGCGTTAAGGAAACATGGGTCAAGGATACTTACCTGAAACAAAAATGTCAAGGGGATTACTTGATGTTGACCATATTTGGGGAACATTTTTAAAATAGCCATAGCATCTGAATGTCCCATTGTGGTTGGCTGTCACAGAGCCCAGAACAAAATGGGCCTGGAATGACATCTTGTCATGTTGCTGTGAGTCCAGTGTCCATGAGAGGTTATGTTTTCCTTCCTGGATCAGAATGAATCTGTCAAATCCCAGTGATGAGCTACACTGCATGGTTATTGACTCTCCTGAAGTCACAGCAGAGCTGGGCCAGACAGAGAGGCTTGGTTGAATATAGGCTCCTAGGATACAAGGGGAAATGTGTGAAATGAATTCAAGCTACCAACATTGCCCTGCAGGCTTCGGCTCCGAGGGCAGTTCCCCTTGAGAGCAGACCTCTTTCTGAGGGGAGAGCCTTTGCTGGTACCCCTTAGTCACTACTCACCAGTTAGTACCAGCACCAGTGTGTCACTGCGCTCTGAAAAGCCAGCAGGGCTCCTATAGTAACACTTGTATATTCCTGCAAAGCCCTTTAACATGCGTTCAAATTGAAACTTAGCCTTGTTCTTCTGTTCCAGAGGAAGCTGTCTGTCCCAAGGATCTTTGTTTCCCTCTTTATACAGAAGGTACTCCACAGCCTCCCAGGGACCCTGGCACCAAATAGTCACAGGTGTGTGTATGGCAATCGCAGAGTGTGGCTCTGCCCAGATGATGGGCTTTGGGAGGCTTCCTGCAAGGAAATAAAAGATTAAGTCCTAGTACAGTCTCCCCTCAGACTCCAGGTCTTAGCATAGAGCACATACAGACATCACGGCAGTATCCATAAACACTTTTCTCCATCTGCATTGTGAAGAGTTTACCCAGAGGAGAGCAATAGTAATGCCTGGTCTCGGGAGGGAAGAATACATCACTGGATGGATGAAGACACTCACCTGCCAGTAATGTAGTCTTGTGTCCAACACTCAGACCTGGAAGAAAATTACCGTTGAGAGCTTTTTCCAATCTGAGAGCCAGGCTGGATCACCTGAAGTTAACAAATGGATTCAGACCTGGCTGTGGTATAGGCTTCCCTACAGATTTGAGGGTCTACACTCCTTGTTCATATCTTACCAATACACAATAGCATTCTGAGCATCAGTGTCATGATGAGCCTTGCTATTGTTCTTGCTTCTTCTCCTTGGGAAGTCTGACCATGTTTTGTAGAACTATCAGAGAGTTTGCTTTCATTCTGATAGCAAGTCTTCCTGTTATGGGTTTGCCACATAAGTAATACCAGGAAAAGAGGAACTTCTATTTTTTCATATTGCAGAAGTTTGGTCAAGTGTTCAGATCTCTCAAAAGATATTAGAAAAATGTTTTTTTCTCTATTCTTCACAAATCCCCCCCATTCCTGTGTGTTGTGGATGATGAAGGGTTTCACAGTACTCTGCCCCATTCTCGTATTACTGTTCGTTAAAGAGGAGAGATAAGAAAAAAGAGATGTAGGCTTTGTTTGGTGATATAAGCTATATAAAAATTCCCCTAGCTCTTGTAAGCAGCCTCTTACCTATACTTTTGTTTAGTAATCACAATTATATTCATTGGTTCACAATACCACACTTAATAGCACTGTTTTGTTTTGCTCTCAGTGATGCTCTATGGGATTTATTATGTGATTTGTTCAAGTAACTCAAGATAATGTTCCCATAACATTGTACATTTAATGATTCTAGGACTATAGGAGTGTCTCCAAGATGGGCTCAGAAAACTCTGACTACCACCAATCACTCTTCTCCATTAAGCTCTATATTACCTGAAAGATATAAGGGGCACAGTGGACATGGTGTGTGTATAAATGGTAGTTAGTAGTTTGTCATATTATATGATGAACAGAAGATATGTTTCATTTTAAACCAAAATGGAACAAGGTAGCCAGAACTTTCAATAACATGAGGAATCTTAAATTTCAAACAGTTCCTGTGTTGACATCACACTCGGTGATATACCTACACTCTGTAAGTCATGTTCCCCAACATTGTAAGGAGGCATGCAGTGTGTTTCAGAAGGTATGATTAGGCTTCAGCATACAAATGGGAGAAATGCAAGGAATGTTTTCTTTCTACATGTTCATCACTGCTGAGACCAAATCAGCATCTCCTCTCATATTTAGTTCTATCATGAGAGAGAGAGTAAAAAGACATATTTTACAAAACAATTGGAAAGATCTGAAAACACTCATTCTGAGTGAATTAGCCTTGACCCAGATGTAGAATCACCATATATTTTATATCATTTTAGGAGTTATCCTCGAAAACTCAGGGGTGTGTTTGTGTGTGTTTCATGAAATTGGTCAGTGGATAATGGAATGGAAATTAAAAGGATGGAATATAACAACCTTCTATAATGGAATAAAAATTAATCAAAGCTTAACAATTAATATAATTTACATTAATGGATAGTCCACTCAAACTAAAATGAATGCATTGTACCAAACTAAACAAAAGTGCAAAACACTATATTGTTATAAATAGAAATTTATATAAACAGACAACAAAGTACAGACTCAGAAGGTTGTATTAGTCGAATTTGTTTGTTTATGTGTTTATATAACAGCAATGAATAGTGAAGAAAAATCTGTGAATTTGGGAGTGAATAGTGGGGTTAAGTGGTATTGGAAGTGTTGTCATTGAGAGGTGGAGGGGAGAAATGACAAAACTATATTTTAATTTAAAAACTTAAATGAGCAGTCTACTTAAAAATAAGGTATACTTACAAAGCAAATTAAAATTCACATAAATTCTGTGTACCTACAAATTTGGGGGAAACACAGAAAATTTTATCTTTAAATTTAAAAAGTACAGTTTCTTTAATTTCTTTCTTCAATGATTTAAAATTCTTGTCATACAAGTCTTCCACTTGTTGGTTAGAGTTATTCCAAGATATTTTATGCTATTTGTGGCTATTGTGAAGGGTGATAATTCTCCACTTTCTCTGTCCTTTTATCATCTGAGTACAGGAGGCTACTGATTTTTTTTAGTTAATCTTGTATTCTGCTATATTACTGAAAGTGTTTACAAGTTGTAAAAGTTCCTTGGTAGGATTTTTTGGATTGCTCATGTAAACTATCATATCATCAGCAAACCTTGAGAGTTTGACTTCGTCCTTTCCAATTTGTACGCCTTGATCTCCTTTTGGTGACTTATTGCTCTAGCTAAGACCTCAAGAACTATGTTGATGTGCAAGGAGGGGGAGGGAAATGGGAAGCGGGGAGGAGGCGGAATTTTTTATTTTGCAACAACTAAAAAAAAAAATAAAAAAAACTATGTTGAATAGATATGGAGAGAGTAGACAACCTTGTCTTGTTCCTGATTTCAGTGGGATCACGGGGAGTTTCTCTCCATTTAGTTTGATGTTTGCTGTTGGCTTGCTGTATATAGACTTTATTATGTTTAGGTATGTTCTTTGTATCCCTGCTCTCTCCAAGACCATTATCATGAAGGTAATATTTTGTTAAAAGCCTTTTTGGCATCTAATGAGATGATCATGTGGTTTGTATATTTCAGTTTGTTTATATGGTGGATTACATTGACAGATGGTTTTCGTATTTTGAACCATCCCTATATCTCTGGGATGAAGCCAATTTGGGTATGGTGGATGAGGGTTCTGATGTATTCTTGGATTTGATTTGCCAGTGTTTTATTTAGTATTTTTGCATCAATGTTCATGAGTGAGATTAGTCTGTAATTCTCTAGACAACAATGAGGACCCTAGAGAGACATACATAGATCCAAACTACATAGGAAGTAGGAAAAGACAAGATCTCCTGAGTAAATTGGGGGCATGAGGACTTTGGGAGAGGATTGAAGGGAAGGGGAGCAGAGAAAAATGTAGACCTCAATAAAAATAATAAAATGAGCAAAAAGGGGGCTGGAGAGGTGGCTCAGAGGTTAAGAGCACTGACTGCTCTTTCAGAGGTCCTGAGTTCAATTCCCAGCAACCACATGGTGGCTCACAACCATCTGTAATAAGATCTAATGCCCTCTACTGGCCTATAGAATATGTGTAGGCAGAATACTGTATATATAATAAATAAATAAACAAATCCTTTTTTAAAATAAAATAAAATGAGCAAAAAAGTAGTTCCTTTTTAAAATTTTTTATTGTTTTTTGGCTATACATTTAAGAGTACAGTTTCTCATCTATCTAAAACCTCTGTTCCTTCCTCCAAATACACTGCTTTAATTAAGTTGTTTCCTCTAAACACTTTAAAAACATTTTACTAAAATAAAATGAGTGTCTGTATATAAAAGAAACAGAAATAAAGATAATTGAGGGAAAATGAAACCCTTCAGAGAGACTAATGGGAATTGATGGTCATTGTGGAAATCTGGTCCTTTTATTCAGTGTTATAGCCAAGACAATGTGTTATGTTTCCACTGAATAACCTTCTACCTGTGCTCAGTCAGGTAATTCATATAGAACTCGGGAGATCACTCACAGAAAGAAGGCAATACAGAAGGGGAACATCTTGAGAAGAAAGTTTCCATAGGCAGAGAAGTGAGCTGTCAGAAAGGGCTATAGGTAACAATGACCAAATTCTTCATATCAATGAAGCATAAAAATTATCAATTTTTAACAACAATGGATATTTATGCACTTCAGATAATACCTTATGAGCAACAGAACACTTATCTGGATGTGGTTTCATAAGATCACTCCCAAAACTTTTTTTTTGTGGTTTGTTCACCCTGTGACATGTGCAGAATTAAACCATTGTGCAATAGTGCATTTTGATACTATATACATTTAGAACTCAATAATAAACACTCAGTAGGTTATACTACAGTAACCAGTGTTGTGTAAAAGAATTAGACATTTAGTATTGTTTACTTGTGCTCCTACACAGTCTGACCATGTTTTGTAGAGCCACAAGAGTGGCTGTTTTCATTCTTAGGGCAGGTTCTTTCTGTCATGGGTTTGCCAAATCAGCATTATCAGTGGAGGTGGAACTTTTCTTTTTCATCCAGTGCAGGAAATTGGCTAAGTACTCACATCCCTAAAGAGTCTTTATTAAAAGGGGTTTGGGGAGTGAATTCCATGGGAACAGTCGTGAGCTAGCAACCTCCACTGGAGCGGGCCTGAACCAGTGACCTCCACAGTAGCAGGTATGAGGGAGTGACCACTGAGGGAGCAGGTCTGAGCCAGTGACCTCTGTAGGACCAGGCCCCAGAGAGAAACCTCCATGGGAGCAGGCCTTTGCCAGTGACCTCTTCTGGAACAGATACTAGAAAGCATACTCAAAATGATACTTACATATCTGGATATCAACATGTAGAAGAAGCCTAATTGATCCATATCTATTAACAGGCACAAAACTGAAGTACAAATGATCAAAGATCTCAACATAAAACCAACCATACAATAAAAACCTAAACATAGAACTCTCGATAGATGAATATAAAAATGGTTGAAAGACACTTAAGGAAATGCTTAACATCCTTAGCCATCAGAGAAATGTAAATCAAAACAACTCTCAGATTTCATCTTATACATGTAAGAATGGTCAAGATCAAAAACCCTGATGACAGCTTATGTTGGAGAGGATGTGGGGTAAAGGGGACACTCCTCTATTGCTGGTGGGCATGCAAACTGGTACAGTCCCTTTGAATATCAGTATGGTAATTTCTCAGAAAATGAAGAAACAACCTACCTCAACACCCAGCAATATCACATTTTCACAAGGACATGTGCTTAGCTATGTACATAGCAGCATTGCTTATTATAGCCAGAACCTGGAAACAACTGAAATGCCACTTGACTGAAGAATGAATAAAGAAGATGTGGTACATTTGTATAATGTAGAACTAGACAATGTGAAAAAAAATATATCTTCAATTTTGGGGGAACCTGGATTCATCTGGAAATATCATGTAGATAGAAGTAACCCAGACCCAGAAATACAAATATAATATGTACTCACTCAAAAGTGGCTTTTAGACATAAAACAAAGAAAAACCAGCCTAAATTTCACAGAGAACCTAGGCAACAAAGAGGACCCTAAGAGAGACATACATGGTTCTAATCTAAATGGGAAGTAGAAAAAGATGAGATCTCCTCAGTAAATTGGGAGCATGGGAATCATGGGATACTGTAGAAAGGGAAGAGAGAGGGGAAGAAAGGAACAGAGAAAAAAATGTTTAGCTCACTAAAAATATTTTAAAATGGGTTTTTATCTATTCCTCATACTTTTCCCTTGTCCTGTGTT